GTCTGTATACCATGCTTTACTCTCTATCTGTTTCTCACTGTCTCTCTCTCTCATTATGGCTGGTTCGCTGTCTATCTCTCGCCCTCTCTTTGCCTCTCACTCTCTCACTCATTCTCTATCTAAATGCCATGCTCTCTCACTATCTGTCTGTCTCTCTCTCTCTGCTTTGAGCAAAAGCCTTTACTTAGAACCGCTCTATCTCTCTGACCTACCTCTCTCCCCTTCAGCTTTACTGTGCGTAATGAATCCCTTGCTGCATTCAGACACACTCGCCCAGTGGAGTTCTGTAGAGATGCCGATGATGGATGTCGTTGTTTTACGCTAATAATATCAGGCACCACCCAGTGGTTTGGATTCCCCTTGCTGTGAATGGAAGTGGAGCAACGGCAGCAGACACAGTCAAACAGAAACTTGGCTAAACACTTGAGAGAGTTGCTGGACGCAGTGGAGTTTGTTGACTCCCTGCCCTTCACTGCTGTGGTTTTAAGCCCGTGCCTGGAATAGCAATCCATCTCCTATCACTAGAGTGATTCAGAGCTTAACGTAAGTGATTGCTGCCATTTCCCAGTCGGCCACTCCGCTGTCTTGTTGAACGGTGACAGCTAACATGACCTCTAAACGGTGAATCACTGCACAGCCACTCCAGTTAACCGAACACAAGCGCAGTTTGGAGCCCGAAGCAGCAGGAGAGTGTCTCGTTAGCTGCCAAACACAATTACGGCCACATTTGTTTAGGTTCAAAAATGAGGCCTAAAGTTCTTCAGCCTAAGTGAGTGAGGAGTTCTTCTGTTATATGTCATGATAGATACAGGTTTCTCCCTCTATCCATCATTCCTGTGCTCTGCACTGGTCCCATTCTGCCCGTTCATTCATAGGCTGATGCTAATGCTGCGACGAGCCACACGCAGCATTGCTCCTGTCGCCTAGTTACCGCTCAGCAGCAGGTTGCCACAGAAACAGGCTCCTGGCAGCAGCACCTCAGCAAGAGATGCTTTAGGCAGCCTTTCGGCAGCGGTGCTGCAGTGTGCACTCGCTCCATGTGGTCCTCTCGCACGCACCTGCCCCACACTGGCCTTCTGTTATCCCTGAGAGCAGAAAACATAAAAATGGATGCATTGTGGCGAGTCTAATGCATCGATTTTGGAATGTTCGAATTGCATTCGTTTATAACAGTATGCAATAAAGTACTGCATGTTTTGGCAAGAAATAAAATTCACAGACTTTTTAAACATAAACGCCCAATAAAATTGTTCACATTCAACTTAGACAGAGTTTGAGCTTCACAGAACCTAACAAATGCAACCACAGGTAACTTGTTTTGTGAAGACGATTAACAACAGTTTCTTTATTTATGCAACACTATGTAAAATTTGGGGATTCAGAACTGGCGCAGGACGTTTGTTCCAATAATGTGGGTGATCTTCATTATCTTCATTAGTATAATGTTGATTTTGCATTTGAGACCTAAACATCAAGCTGGACCTTCTTTCTGATCCTGTGCATGAGACTTTAATATGTAAAGTCATACGACGGTCCGAAAAACACCCGCAAAATCCAACCTGATGCCTCTGACTTTTAGATTATGATTTCAGGCTTTACAGAGCGACTCACAGCAGCACACACACATCATATTTTAGTGTGATTTTTGGTAAAGAGTTGGTACTTCCTTCAGTTTTAGCCAGATCTAGATACTCAAACTATAATTAACTATGAATAATACATGCACATGAAAGCGTGACATTTATGAAGAGCATCCAATCACGTGAATCTGAAGACAAATCATATTTTGGGTTTGTAACAATAAAATCACCACTGACACTGTGTTTATTGCTTATTGAAGTAATAATTGCTTTATTTTCCTTATATCTATATAGTATGATTTGTTTCCTCTGCTAAAAGGGTAATACTTCCTGTGATCGTCACAAAGAGAAAACCTGACCCAAAAAAGTGACCTCTATTCAAAGAGGTCAGTAGCTCTGCGCTGATTTGACCAGTAGCTGTTTGATTTGATACCCCAAAGTTAACCCCTTAAATGGCCAGGGACCAAAATGTTATTACACAGTTCTGTAACCTAAGAATAGCTCAGCCAGTTTGCATTGAAGTCCCTGTAGTTACCGGTTTATGTAATAAGCCTTGGATTTTAAGGGGTTAACCTGCCTTGGAACAGGATAGGCATGCAGCATAAGTCGTTATGGTGATGTAGCCCAAGAAAATGTAAAAACTGATCCACTGTTGTGACAGAAAATGCAAGATTAGATAAAGCTAAGCTTAAGGTAAGCTGGCTAAGCAGGAAATCCCGCTTTGGAAAACAGACCCCTGCTGTATTGTTTTTATCGTCCACATTCCTAGCTGTGTAAATAGTTGCTCCAATTAGTTGTACATTTTCTAATTACTCTGAATTACTAAAACGATTAAATTAAATAAATTCCACTCAAATTGAGGTGAAATTTGAGATTGCGCAATTCATTAAATCACTTCCTAAACAACCATCATTGTATCAAGTCGTTGTGAGGTTGGAGATTAATACCCACAGTTACCTCTGAACTCTGTGCTGGAAGTCAGGAGCTTTAGCCATCGCTGGGTGTCTTGCTGACAGGCCACCAGCCTGGGATGGACGAGAGTGCAGCCTTGCATTCTCATTCCAGGGCTAAACAGCCTGTCGTCCTGGACATTGTGGCATCTCTAACTGCTGTGTGGACGGAGGCCAATGCGGATCAATGCGGTGCTTTCACCTCTGCTATGTGGGAATGTACAACACTGTAAAAAAAAAAGGTTTGTGTGTTCAAACTAAAATGACCACCTCATGTAGTAACAAGTACTTTAGTTGGTTTTATTCAGCTCAGATAAATAGTTTGAATGAAACAATGCAAAGCAGAATTTTAGTTTAAATAAACAAAAGCAATATTTTACATCAATTCTAGCTTCAAAAACACTTCAAAGTGACTCCTGCCCTGTTTCTTTTTGTACAGTGCAGGGGGTTGTGGTTGTACAAATTACCATGCAGTGATCTGATTATGATTCTGAGGGAAACGATTTCATGCATCAGGAAATCCCAGTTTCCACCTTGATATGCTCATTTTGGTAGGATTCAGAGTGCTTTTTTCATTGCACTGGATACACAAATATGACTGGAGGAGGAGCACTGCAAAAATGGTTTGTGTGTTCAACCTAAAAATGTACTTCATGTGACAATAATTAAGTTATTTCTTTAGTTTTATTTAACTAAAATATGTAATTTGAGTGAAAAGTGGTTTTCCACTGGCATTACTGCAAAGAACTTGTTTTTTGGACCTTTTTTTAGCAGAATAGCAGGGAAATAAAGACAATAAAACATATATAACAAGCTTTTTACATTTGAAAATAGCCAGAGAATCTTAATTGGGTCAAAAGTTCATGCATTCCAAAATTGATGCAATTGAATCACCATTTTCAGATGCTTCCCAATGTATTGCTGCATTTTCAAACCACTATGTTGTATTGTCTGCCTCTGCACTGTTAGCCTGTTCTCTCTGAGTAAGCATCTAAAGATTATAAGATCATATTATGAACCACTGAACACTAGTTTACATGTATTCATGGATTTGGCTGCAGATGGTGGGTGTGGTAATAAAAAACCTGCTAATGCTTTCTCTGTTATTCATAAAATTGTGTCATTCAGGTGGTAATAGGTATAATTGTAGAAATAAGGACGACATCTTAGTCACAATCCTGTTTACAGGCAGTTATGATAATGACTGAACACAATCAGGTTTCCAAAACAGGGTTTGGAATCAGTGATCAAATCCAAACATGAGCCAAAAGCTTGAGAGCAGAACCCTTTCGTAACTGTGGATAAGGCAGCAGAGCCACCATGCTGTTCCACTGGAGCGGTATGAGTGAGAGCTTAGCTTTGAGTTAGGCTTACAATAGGCAGTTGGTGGCTTCATTTGGTGAGAGCAGGATGGTGGAACGTTGTGTCAGTCAACTCTGCTGGATTCGAGATTGCTGTTAACATTCATTGTACCAAACATTCACTTAAATTTCCCACTTTAGTGGAAACATGCACATTGTCTGCTTTATTTTAATACACTCTTAAAAAAGATGGTTCTTCAAGGGTTCTTTAGTAAAGAAAATGGTTCTATAAAGAGCACTCAAAGAACACTTTGCATGATTAGAAAGTTCTTTGCATCATAAAATAGTTCTTCAGATTGATGGAGAATGTGCTGCAAATGGTTCTACACAGAACCTTTTTGGAAAGGGAGCTATATAGCACCCAAAAGTGTTCTTCTATCGTTACAGGATTGACATTGTAACAATAGAAAAAACGCTTTTGGGTGCTGGATAGAACCCTTTACAAAAAGGTTTTATATAGAACGATCTATAGCACATTCTGAAGAACATTTTCATGATCCCTTTAATCATGCACAGGGTTTTTGAACGTTCTTTGATCTATATAGAACCATTTTCTTTACTAAAGAACCCTTGTGGAACCATCTTTTGTAAGAGTGTGCTATATAAGAGAGTCTGCTCAGTTGTATAACCAGTGCTTATGTTCACTATATGCCCAACAGTTTGTAGACATCTGTTCATCCAACATTTTTTCTAAAATGTTCAGCCTCAACTCTTCTAGGAAGGCTTTACACTAGATGCTTGAACATTGCTGTGAGGATCTGATTGCATTCAGCCATAAAAGCATTAGTGAAATCAGATACTGATGTTGAATGATTAGTTCTGGATCACAAACACCACTCCAACTCATCCCAAAGGTGTTGGATGGTGCTCCATCACTCCAGAGAAGAGTCTGTTCTCATGTAATCAAGTAATAGTTATTCTACATTTAACCTGTGAAGTGTTTTTTTAATGAGTGTGCTAATGAGTGGGCCTAAAATATTAGCATACCATAGTCTTCATTGCATTTCCTTGATTAGTGGACTGTGTAGATGGTCCCAGGTGTTTTCCTACCAATTATGAGATAATGAAAGGAAGTGTAGTTATTGATTGTGAATATGGTCATTTTGCAGATAACCAGTTCAGAATGTCCATCCTGGAGCGGCTGGAGCAGATGGAGCGCAGGATGGCTGAGATGGCCGGCCAGCAGCAGCAGAGCAATGGAGCAGCTGGAGGCGCTGGAGCAGGAGCCGGGGGAGGAGGGGCAGGAGCAGGGGGAGGAGGCAATGGAGGGAACGGCAGTAACAGCCAGTCTCAGGTACTGTAAGAGTCATCATGTGCTTTTAACTGACTCTTATTGATCAGATACTTTCATATTGAGCCATTTCAAATCATTACTCCACAGTGTGGATAATCGTAGTCGTATGGCAGTGGTAATAGTAAACAAATCAGTAGTGATCATCTCAGTGCTGGTCTCTTTGCAAACTAGAAGACTCTTGTGTCCGCAGTGTGTGTCGGGGCAGGGCCAGGCGGGCAGCTCCTTCGAGAGCCGTGTAGTGGTGGTGTGTGAGAAGATGATGAATCGCGCCTGCTGGGCCAAATCAAAACATTTGATCCACTCCAAGACCTTCCGGGGAATGACCCTACTGCACCTCGCTGCAGGACAGGGCTACGCCACACTCATCAAGACACTCATCAAGTGGCGGTGAGTCACAGTGATGCAGAAGGAGAAGTGTGATTTTCTTACACTGTATTTATCTTTACTGCATGATTGCTGTTGCTGTTGTTAATGTGAGCTATACTGTTTACTGATTATTTCTTTATTTCCAGTATAATGGCTACTAAATACAAGCCATTCATTTTTCAGTGTCAGGAAAAAAGCAGAAAACATACTTAACAGAAAATTGCACAGAAGCCTCAGCCACTGGATATAATATCACATATCAGGATGCATTTTTTGTCTATTTATTTTCTCAGGGTCTTGACAGCTACACATCATTTTAAATTCACACTCTCTCAAAGATGAAAGCTTTAAGTGCTGTTTATCTGATGGTGACAGTTTTGGTGGTCTACCATGTCTTGCACGGTTGCATCTTTTAACAACTCCAATTTTTTATTTTTTTTCCATTGGATTTTCCCCTTTCATATGCATTATTTTATATCTAATCCCCTCAGACATATCACCTGAAAAGGGAATAGGGAAAAACACATGAATTCCGATCGCAGCGTTCACATTAAGGTTGCATGGCCACGAGTCGGATACGTTTTGGATCTAGGACCACATATGAAAGTGGCTCAGATCCGATTTGAAAAGATCAGATTTGTGTGTCCACACAGCCCTGAAAACATTAGATCTGAATCACATTAGGGAAAAATCGGATTTGTGCCACTTCAACCTAGTAATGTGAATGTAGCCTAAATAAATGCAGGGTGGTCTCTGATTTTTGTCCAATACTCTGTGATAAAAAATAATCATAAAATTGTTTTAAAAAATGGTCTTGTCTTTCTAGCACAAAGCATGCTGACAGCATTGATCTAGAGCTTGAGGTGGACCCCCTTAATGTAGACCACTTCTCTTGTACACCTTTGGTAAGTTTTCAGTTGTATATTTTCATATATAAGGTTAACAAATTGTCATTTCTATTCTATTAGTCCCCTTGACTAAAATTTTAGTTTTACATTTACATTTATAGCAATGTTTCCTGAGAGATTGTATGCATGGAAAACATATCAATTATATTATATCATTATATTATATTATATTATTATATTGTATTATATTAATATCAGTCACCTTCATGGTTTTAGTCTTATCCCCTGCGCTGTCTCTCTCTGTAGATGTGGGCCTGTGCTCTGGGTCACCTTGAAGCAGCTGTGGTCCTGTATAAATGGGATCGGAGAGCACTGGCCATCCCGGACTCCCTGGGGCGCCTGCCCCTGTCCATCGCTCGCTCCCGTGGCCACACTAAACTGGCCGAGTGTCTGGAGCAGCTCCAGAGAGAGGAGCAGCAACAGCCGCCATCCTCCCGCATGGCCTTCTCCCCCAACTCCGATGCACCCTCATCCGACAGCTGGATGGTCACGTGGGCTAGCGATAGCGTGGTGAACCCCAGTGGACAGAAGAGCGGAGCAGTCACCACCACTAGCACTAATCCCAGCAGTCTCACCCCTGGTGAGTGCACTGGTTGACCTGCAGTTGGGGTTCATCATGTACTTGCCTGAAATCGCATCAAGTTGTTGAGTAATCTTAAATAATCTTTGCTAATGCGGTTTCTGACACTGTATGACATGCTAGTATTTAATAATTGAACAAACGTACAGCTTATAGCTGCTGCTTAAAGGTGAATTGTGGTCTAAAATTAGCCTTTAAGATGTTATTTGTCATTTATGTCAAACAGAATTGCATCCCTTAGCCTCATCAGTTTGACAGAATTCACAATTTCGTATCCTCTTTGTGTTTTCATTCATCAGTGTTTTTTGACTACAACACCCAGCATGCATTAGATAAATATATTGTACAATAGTTGCAAAGAAAGAAATTCACTGATGTACTGATGAGAAGGAAAAAAAAACATTTTTAAACAGCCCACCCTGAAAAAAAAGAACCCTAAGTTGTTCAAATGTTTCTTCAGTAAAACTACTTCAACCCTGCTACATAAAATTGACATAACTATGCCATAAACGCGTCATGATAGATGTCATATGCTGTCATGAGTTGTCATGACAGATTATGTTCAGTAATGTAACAGTGTTATATTACTATTATTGTTGTCACAGACATCATAATGTTCGAAATCATATCAGCTAACTAGAGTACACTGTTATGACAGATACCATGCTATTTGATGTCATGATGGCTCATGTCACTGGTAATAGTAACATGACAGCAATGTGTCATATGCCATGATGTTTATGGCATGGTATGTCAAAGTTATGTAGCAGGGTTCAAAAAAGTGTTACCATTCCTTCTACCTTCAAACTCCTTCATCAGAGGGGGTTTTCTAGTCTTTTAACAGGAAAAGAGTGTCCCTTTAACAGTGTGTGATGATTTTTTCACACAGTCTGTATTATGCTGAAGTGATAGCTGTAAGTTACATTAGCTTTGCAGTTTGAGTGCAAAACTAAAGAAGCAAACTTCAGACACCAAGCACGTCTTGACTGATCAACTACATTTGGGGTAAGGGGAAAATTATGCAAATGAGATTTTTGGCAGAACCATCTCTTTAATGTATTACTGCAGCACTTGTCTTCACTTCGGTGAGCAGTACTTGTTGCAGAATTTAATTTAAACAGCCTATTTCCTGGGATTAGCTCTAATAGCACCTCAGAGATAGAGCAAATGTAATTGAAAGAATGATGATCCATTCCTAACACAGTACCTCATTTGTGCCTGCGTGTCTTTCTTTTGTGTCCAGACTTGAGACGGCCCAGGTCAGAGCCGTCCAGCTACTACATTAGTGAGTGTCAGAGGGATCTCCCTGCGGCTAAAAAACACAAGCCCAACCCTGAGGTGGCTCAGACTAGACCAGATAAAGCCGTCTCAGTACCCCTGAGCTTGGAGCACCAGCAGCTCTCCAGGCTCTCGGCCAGCACCGGCACCCTCCCCGCTGACCCGACCAGCCCTGAGCGTAGTGTGGCTGCCGAGGGCACAGAGACCAGCGGTGTCTCACAAGCCAAGCTGGGCTCATTCCGTGCAGGGGGCCATAAGTGGGGCTCAAGGGAGGTGTACAGGAAGGTACCAGGGGGAATTGGAGGAAGCAGTATAGGGAAGGAGAAGCTGGCCAGCCGGCTGCGTCAGCGGGCAGAGCCCCTCAGTATGCTGACCATGGCAGACAGAGAGATGGTGGACACTGAGCTGCTTTCCTACAAGGAGGATTTGGAGAACCAGGACTGCCTTTCACACATGGAAGACCTGCAGGTGAGTTGAGCATAACAAAGAGCACATGTCCAGCTAGTTTGTGATTTATGTTGGTGTCATTAAATCCTTGCATGGCTCCAAGTGTCTTATTCTACTACAAGATGATAAAATGCCAATGTTGGATAAATAATTGAATTTATTAATAATAGTTATCACTATAAACAATATTAACACTGAGCAGTGTGGTTTATTAATGATGAACTATGAATGCCAAGCAAAATGAATGGTCAAAGCTTATTCCATGAACAGCACAATGGTTTTTAATACCTTAATATATCAAAAGAGAATTGAATTCATGTGTGTAGTTATATGTAGGTATTTTGAATAGTTTACAGTGGCTTTGAACAAACCAAATCCATCTAGCTAGCAGACTGTACCTGCACATAATGTAGTTTGACAGAAACACCATGAAAGGCCTACTATCTTGTTAAATGTTGCTTTCAGCGGTCTAAATTAGCTAATTTAGTTAGCTAGTGTAGCTACCTAGTTAGCTAACTAATCACCAAGCCACAGATTAGCTTATACCACGCACATGCCAAGCTGACTAGCTAGCTAGCTCCATTCACATGTAATCTAATAAACAAATGTAGTTTTAATGAGAAGTGAGATATGGTAAGATGACTGTCATACTATCCAAAGTTTGGGACACAGCCTAGCGCATAACTATCCCTTACATTATTGTAAACTAAGAAGGTGGTGGATCTTTTAAAAGTGAGCAGCGGTTGTGAATTAACAAACGGCTTAGCTTAAACAGTTCTCAGGGAAGTACATAAGGACTCTTTGCAGTATAAAAATGAGTTGAATGATGCATTTAGCTATCTAGCTTATGTTAAGTTACAGAGATTTCGTCTCATCACACACAACCAGACATGAAAACCTATGAGCAGTGAGAAAGGAGACAGGTTCAGAGGCCAGGACCCTGTAGTGTGTCTGGTAGCATCATCCCAAAGGGGAATTTGTAGTGATTTAAACATGAACATTTCCAGCATTCTTTGACTAAAATACAGAAGTGGAATTACTTAGCTCATTGAACTGAACAACTATGCCAACAGAAGTCATGTAAAAATGTAGTTTTAGGTATTTCAGCTTTTTTGTTGAACAGTTGTTGCTTATCTTGCCAAGCTCAGAAGGCCAGTGTGTGCAAAATTTGGCAATCTTCTTTTGAGACCCTACATTTATAATAAATCATTGCCATTCTAAAAGCTTTGCCTATTATTTGAGCAGTTCTGGGTCCATAAAAAACCCCATGGTGCTTGGATCACCAGTCGCTAAACTCTCATAAGAGTTTCTACAATAATTTCAGACAAAAACTTAAATCTGAGTCTTAGTTTCTAACAGTAATAATTTATAGCTAATAATTTAAGTAATAATATATTCAAACATCAGTGATAATTTAAGCTGCTGAAGAAATCTGTGCTCATCAGATCTGCTCGATTCACATGACCGGCATGTTCATCATTTAAAGCAGTAAATTTTCACGGAAACGTAAAGCAAACCAAACCCAGCTAGCTAGCGAACTGTGTCTGTACAAAATGTGATTTGATGGTAACAGCATGAAAAGCCTACCGTCTTCTTAAATGTTTCTTCAGTGGTCTAAATCAAATTCTCTATAAGTTATCTTACACAGCTGTTGTAGCTAGTAAAGTGGACTGGGTTAGCCAACTTATCAGCAAGCTGTAGATTAGCCTACACCATGAACATGCCAAACCAACAAGCTAGCTAGCTCGATTAGCATGTAATCTATTAAACAAATTTATTTTTAATGAGGACAAAGATGGTAAGATCACTACATACACCATCCAGAGATTGGTTAAGCGTAATCAGCTAATATTATATATCAATAGGACAAAGAAAGACAATTAAAATGTTTATTGTAATTATTTATATGGCAATTAATTGTCAGCTGAATTCACGATGGTGAAAGGACTAGTGAGGTGTACACAGACTGTGAACTTCACTCACCAACTTGGTTAAAATCAGCCTGACTTCAAAAGTGATTTTGTGCATGCATGCATCTTGTTTCACACAACCTGTACAAAGCTTTTTCCACACTATCAGACTCCACACTGCGGCCCTCTGTTGAAGCAAAGAACATGTTTGGCTCTTACTGTTTATTATTTTTTTCTGTGATGCCATGACAGAAAATGCCATTTATCAAATATCAGTTATTTAGAACAGAAAAGTCTCAAGATGGATGGTAGAAGTTTGCAGCTTCCAGATAACCTAGAAGGTGCTAGAGCAACATTTCAGGTTCAACCTTTGGTGTAATGTATAGCAGGGCTGTGTTTAGTGCATTACTTATATGCAGTTAACCTAGGTGGCCTTAGCATACTTGATAGCCTAGATCTTCTTGCTTTTACTGCGCAACTCATCCAGATAAGCATCTCTGCCCTCCATCTTCAGTCTTCCTGGCACTTCTTCTTCCTGCCCAGTTCACAGAAATGAACATGATTGGGAGCAGGCCTTAAAAATCAAGCGTGAAACTAAGAAAATCAACAGAAGATGGAGTGGCCATCAGTTCTATTAATGTGTGTAAGTCGGCATTAGAGTACAGTCAGTCTGGCCCTGCTCACTGGCCCGAACCTGCATCACCACATAATAAACTCCAGCGATTGATCTGCCCTCGGGGCCAAAAGCTCCTGCAACTCCATTCATCTCTGTCACTCTGAGCGGAGGGAGAAAGGAGGGAGTAGGGCAGTGTAGAGTAAACACAGTGGTGGCACAGTTAAATTGTTGTTGGAGTGTGTTTGTGAATGCGAGTGTGTGTGTATATGTGTGTCTCTAGGTGATTCAGGTACATACACACACACACACGCACGAACATTTCACACGTGTTCCCATCAAGTCTCCAGTGAGGACTCTGGGTGCTGTTGTAACTGAGCGTATGTGTTTGTATGTGTTTGCTGCTGGCAGGCGAACATGATGAGCTTGGCTGAGCACATCATCGAGGCCACTCCGGAGCACATAAAGAGGGAGAACTTTGCAGAGGTGGAGTCTGTGCCTCTGGACAGCAGTGGCCTGAGCAGCACCATGAGCTGGCTAGCCACTTATCTGGGCGACGTGGAGCAGCTGCCCAGCATCATCCATCTGAGGTGAGAAGCACTGGTCAGAAAGAGCATTTAGCATAGAAGAGTAGGAATGCATATCATCACCATCTCAGCAATAATGTCAAAAGGGGTTCTTCAGAGTGAGCCACCTTTGCTTCCCTGAAGAACCTTGCAAGGAATGGTTCTTTAAATAGGACGGCCCCTCTCTCCCCCCATCACTCAGCACGATGCTATTCAGCGCAGGCGTCTGTTAGCTGACTCAACAGGTCGGTTGGCGCATTCCTCCGAGCACATTCGGCTGTCCAATGACGTTGCGTGAGCAGTAGTTTGAAAAGATGTGGTGGCACTTCACAGGTCTCGGAGGAAGCCTGTGGTAGCCTTCGTCCACCTAGCATGGGTGGTATCGTGTGATTAGGGCAGTCCTAAATAGTGGGTGGAATCGTATATGACTAAATATCCAATATTTGGGGAAAATTGGAGAAAATATCAAATTTATGCAATTTTTCATTTACCTACATATGGTTGACTGGGCAAGAAATACATGATGTCTAAATTTTGCTTCCTCAGTTTAGCACAGGAGCTACAAAGCTAATGTTGCTAACATGCTCTAATAGTTAATAGTCACCCAAATCATTTTTTTTTGGAAAATACACTCCCAAAACATTTCTCAATGTTTGTGATTTGTTGTTTCTTTTTATAAATAACTGTTAATGTTTGGTTTTAAACTAAATATGTATGTCTAGTATTTTATTTTATTAGCAGATGTTAAAAGGGCCATATCCTACATTCTTCTTGCATCAACTCTTTATTTCCCTGTGTTCCTTTTATGGCATTAGTGTGCCTTTATGTACCAAAAACGGTCGTAATTAATTTTTACATGACCATTTTCCAACCGTTCTTTATCCCTTCAAATTGATCAGGTTGTTTTTGTTGCTGCACCTGATATATGTTTGCCTGCCCCACATTGAGTTCTTTTCAGCATGAATGGGCGGAGCTGAACTGCTTTAGGCTGTATAGATAGATATATGTATATATGAATGTGTTTGTTTTTTGTGACATCACAAAAACAGTCAATTCTTTTCGCATCTTAGTTTCTATGTATGGATTGTATGTATTGGAGGATGAATGGAATATTTTGAAATTTTAACAATGTCTAAGCAGTACAAAAAAAGTTTCACATGACACGCGCCCTTTAAGCAAAGAATGCTTTCCCTCCTCCAGTAAAGGTTTTGGAGGTCTGAGGTTTCTTATGACAGCACTGATATATTATATTGTTGTACTCATCGATTAGTGTTGCACTCGCTGACCTTAGTCGTTCCTTTATTACTAAGACAAATAGCACCGCACATATTTACACAGCAGTTATGATTGCGTGAGGACAGATGGCCTATGGTCAACTACCCTTGAATACCCCTATGCTGATCCATTTCTTTCTGTTTGTAGGTCCCTGTACAGTGAACCCCTGACCCCCAAGCCTAGCATGAGCCCAGGGGGCTCCCCCCTGCATGATGGCCCTTTTGAGAAGGCCACCCTGCCTTCCCCAGCCGACTGGAGCGAGTTCCTGAGCGCGTCCAACAGCAAGGTGGAGCGAGAGCTGTCCCAGCTGACCCTCTCTGATCCGGAGCAAAGGGAACTGTATGAGGCTGCTCGGTTGGTGCAGACCGCCTTCCGCAAGTACAAGGTACAGGCCAGGACTCAGGTACCCATATATAACAGACTGTATGGACAGAGAGAGTCCTTAGTCTATTTTTGTGACTTACTGGTGCTAGGAGCCGTGTTGATAGGTGAGGTTATGGTGGCCGGTGCCGGAGCCCCCTGGGGGAGAATAAACTCTTGGCAGAATTCCATCCTGTATATCCTCCTTTTCTCTACACGTCCTCTGCTCTCTATTTAGTTTTTGTCCTGAACTAACACACACACACACACACACACACAGCAGCGAGTCCCCACAGCTTCAGCATGGAAAGGTGGCTACAGCAGTGCATGGCCTGGCTTATAGGAGTGAATGCACTGCTCTCTCTATCTGTCTCTCTCCCTTTCTCCTCTCTCTCTCTCTCTCTCTCTCTCTCGACCTCCCATGGTTGTGTGTAATGAGTTTCCACTGCTCTTGTGGGTTCCTGGCACACACAGGCATCTGCTCCCCCAGCTCTGGCAGATGAAGCAGAGTGGCAGTGGGGGGCTTCCTGCCCACTACACCTGCTTTTTGCTCTCTCTCTCACTTTCTCACTCAATCTCACTCTCCTTGCCTGTTCTCTTAGTTCTCTTGCTCTTTTTTGTATCTGTCTCTTTCTCTGACTCTTTTTTTCCATGTTTGTTCCTGTCTTTTTCTCTTTTTGTTCTTTCTAGTCTCGCTCTGCTCTCTCTCTCCCACTTTCTTTCTCTTTCTTTTTCCCATCTTTGTTTCTGTCTCTTTCTTTTGTTCTTTCTCTTTCTCTCTCTCTCTCGTCTCTTGCTCACCTTCACTCTCTTTTCCCACCTCTGTTCCTGTTTCTTTCTTTTTGTCTCTCTCTTTTGCCCCCGTTTATTCCTGTTTTGCTTTCTCTCTGGTTTCTGGTGCTATCCAGGTCTCTGACTGTGGGACAGGGTGTTCAGCCCCCCCTCTAATCTCCCACTCTGTTCTCCCGCAGGGGCGCCCACTGCGCGAGCAACAGGAAGTAGCGGCTGCTGTCATTCAGCGCTGTTACAGGAAATACAAACAGGTAGGCGCTCCTGATTGACGCTTTTTCAGACACACTTTGACACAGTGTCACTGCTCGTTGTCAGGTGTACAAGACAGGCCCCGCTGAACACACCAGAAAGATATATGTCTTAATGCTGTTCGAATCTGAAACACTGTTTCTCCAGACCATTTATGTCTTTTTCATCCGTTTATATGCTTTATTTGTTGAGTTTCCCACAAGAGCTCATATCACTTTCATCCAACCTACATCCTGAACCAGCACACCTAATAGCCTCAGGTCATTCTGTATCTAATCTAAGCTCAATCTTCTTTTCTTTTTCAAGCTAACATGGATAGCCTTGAAGGTAACCCATCTGTTCAACAGAACACTAGATACTAGGAGTGAAGTCTGAAAGTGGCAGTTTAACTGTATTGGTATTGGAATTTGTCTATTTTTGGAAAGTAAAATTGCAAAACAATCGTGAAGTTAAAGATTTACTAGATATCTGAGCTACTGTGCCTTTTCTTCATGAAACGTCCACCTCGGGCCTGACCCTTTGTCCCTCTGCTCTGTGGCAGTATGCACTTTATAAGAAGATGACGCAGGCCGCCATCCTTATCCAGAGTAAGTTCCGAAGTTATCACGAGCAGAAGAAGTTCCAGCAGAGTCGGCGGGCGGCCGTGCTGATCCAGCAATATTACCGCAGCTACAGAGAGTTCCGGCGGCTCCGGCCCCACAGACGCAGCCCCGCCTCCGCCCTGGTGCAGCACAAACTCAGGTAACCCTCACTAATGCAGCACATTTCACCCTTACTTACAACAGAGTTATCCATTAAGTCTCAGATAACCGTGTGGGGACACTTAATTTTGAGTGGTCCATTTAGATGGAACAAACACTCAACATACTCTCAGTAACATGTCAAAAACATATGAGGGTCAGGATAAGGTTCTCGGTTGAGGTTAAGTTTAGGGTTAGGTTTATGGCCAGGGTTAGGGTTTATGTTGAGGGTTGAGATTAAGGTTAGGGTTAGGATAAGGGCTAGGGTTAGGGTTAGGTTTTGGCTAAAGTTGGGTAAAGTTAGGTTTTGCGTAATGGAAGTAACATATTAACAATACATCTACTTAATGTAAGTAATGCATCAACAGTAGATCTTATATTCAGATGCTTCACTACTGCTACTTTATAACAACTGATATGTTGTTGATGTGTTACTGATAATCTGGGTTTATTAATCATCTACAAAGGACCACTTCAAAAAAAGCGTTACCCATAGTGTAAAATATTAAGTTAACGTATGATACTAAAATTGAGTGACATATTAAACATCTAGCAAAATGAAAAACAATATGCCTTAAAACCATGTGGCTTATGAGGCTTATTTGAGAATTGTCTGGGCGTGGTTCTAATATTCTGATGAGACTTTCAGACTGCAACACCAGTGAAGCAGAAATAAACACAACAACGCAAACAGGGAGAAATGTATACGTAGAAAAACAGCTCTACATATACAGGTCGTATTTTAGACTCTCCCTGCTGTGTCTATGACTCACTAAAAGCAATATCCAGCTTTTATACGGCAACATCTTAAAGAATGTAAGGTTCTTATCTTGTTTGATGAGGGCCGAGGGAATGGCTGGTTGAATGGACGAACGGACAACTGGACGTATAGACAGACAACAGGCAGAGATACGGAGTTGAAAACTCAGTTATACTTGTTAGATTAGCTTTCACTCTGTAAGTTTCTCCAACTTGAGCATAGAGAGACAGCAAGGGAACACAGTTTTGTTAAAGCTGTGTTGGTGGGACAACCCTCATCAGTCTTATGATTTGTGAGGGTGCTGCTTACGTATGCATGACCCAAGATTAGGACTGGCCAGTTTACCTTGAGAGAGGAGAATTTAGGCAAAACACATCAGCCATTTAGTGCACAAAGGAAAGTTTTTCACAGGACATACTTTGAACATGTAAATTGTGCACCTACAAGACCGGAGGTTGGCAACCCAAATGTCTAGAAGAGCCATTTTGTCCTTTTAACAAAAATCAAACCACCTTGGGAGCCACAACATTTTAAGTCCATTTTACCATCTTGGCTGTAAATATGACTCAGTATGTGCTGATGTACGTGTACAGGCTAAAAATATAATATAAACGAAAACACAGAATTACTTTGCTCTGCTTTAAGCTTTAGCTCATCTTTAGCCACTTTTCTCGCATCTCTGGCAGGAAACTTTTTCTCAGAAGTGCAATAGTCTCTTTAAAAATGTCTCTCAACGTTCAACTTTTTCTGAGGCTGAAGTCAGCTCCTCATTTGCCAGCATCCTGATGGAACTTTCCTGTTCCACCTTAAATGGTGCCTGAGGCGCCTGAATGTAACTGCTGCACCGTGTTTTGCCGACCACTGTACAAGACCAAAAGAAACCTACTTATAATGAAAGCTCATAGAAACAAGCAGAGAAATTCCGATTTTCAGCTTTCAATCAGTGCCTGATATGTGTTTTGTAAGTAGAGGAGGAGAAATCGTATTAGGTTTCGAATTTGATGAAAAGTTACTGTTGTGCATCCTGGCTTGATTTATGGAAACACAAACATCCTTCGCATTTGTGCAATAATTTTGACAGTTTTGTCAAAAAATGTAAGAAGTCATAAGCAGGTTCAAAATGTAAATGACATATAACCAATTAATGACACAACTATCTGTGTAAATTATTATGTATTTATATAATTACATTTGAATAAGTATGTAAGTCAAATCAATTGTATTTAGTCTATGGGTTGTGAGTTAATGGTAAAGATATGCTGCAGTGTTCTGACACTCATTCAGTACAGATGCATGATAGGTAGATGTTGAGATTATAAGACCTTTGGTAGTTTGTACTGAGTGCTGCTGTTTGTTTCTGTTTCAGAAGTAGTTTGCTCACTAAGAGACAGGATCAGGCCGCCCGCAAGATCATGCGGTTCCTCCGCCGCTGTCGCCACAGGTAATCTCCCTCTCTCACACTGCCCCCCAGTGGCAGCAGCCTCCACTCTGCACATAACACACACACACATACACACACTTATCTCCACTGTCCTCAATGTGTCAACACCAGAAAGTGCAGCTGACTAGCCACCTAAATCGCTGGCACTACAGGATGACTAAATAAACTAGCAAACTAACTGCATGTTCTGCTGTCACACTCATCTGGCAATGTATGAATGTCCACTGCTACCTTTACAGTGGGACATTTTAGAGTAACAGGGGGCAATGTTATGTTCAAGGAATATTCCAGCATTTTTCTGCCTAATCTCTCTCTGCAGATCTGTATCATAAGGTCAATTACTGCTATAATTTACCTAAATATTCATATATTTAGTGAAAGAACAGACAAGCAGCCTTCTTAAAATGTTTTTACAGTAAAAGTCAATGTACAGGTGCTGAAGCATCGGCCTGCTGGCTTCTATTATATGTTTTGAGTCAGAGGTTGTTCTGTTCTTTTCCAAGTACAGAGAAGCTTTTGTCTGTGGTAATTGACATTATGCTACAAATCAGAAATGGGGACACTCAGCGACTCAGACTCGAGTCACATGTTGACTCGTGACTCAACTTGGAAGCACATTCAACTGGCTCACGACTCCATTCAGACCAAGGACTAGCAACATTTCAGCTAAAAATAAAAAAACACTACAAAGAAAATGTCACTAAGACTACCGGTCTTAATGCAGTAAACGAAGAAAACTTTTTGTTTTTGTGTGCGTTTGTTTTTCAGTTTTGCATGTGCAGTGTTTGGTGTTTGAGGGCATTGCATTATGGATATTGTAGTGCATTTGCCTTGGTCATTGCCGTGATGCAAAATGCTCTCTTATTTCTTTTTCTCATTGGCACTCTCGTTTATCATCAATAAATGCCAAGTACTTCACTGACGTTCCAGTCCAACTCATTAATTTGGAAAAGTGAAAGTTCCAAAAAACATAGGTTTTTACCACAGAGTGACAAGAAAGTTAAACAGCCCTGTGTCCAGCCTTGGAGCTCGTTATGGAAAAAGCTCCCCCTGGGCTATTGTTTCCGCGGCCCAGAGGCAGAAATCGGGAAAGGTACACAGCAGTAATAATGATATGGCTTCAAATAACAAGGTTTTCATTATAGAAAAACCTTTAGTCTGAACGAAGCACTGCATGCAGTAAATTTGGTGTCCAAAAAGAAAAAACTAGCATTAGCAATCATATATATAGTCTTATTATACAATATACACCATTATAATAGTATATAATAATGTATGTATACAATATATAAAATAGTATATAATATAGCTAAGCGCACCTCATGACTCGAGTAGGACTCATAAATTAGAGACTTGAACTCACACCTTAGATTCATAACTCGACTTGGACTCACACCTCAAAGACTCAGCACTCAACTCGGACTCTTATCTCAGAGACTCAGACTCGCATCTCAAAGACTTGTGGCTCGACTCGGACTCACATCTAAGAGACTCAAACTCACACCTCAGAGACCTTTAACTCAGCATAGACTCGCACCTCAGAGACTTGTGACTCGACTTGGATGCTCATCTAAGAGACTCAAACTTACATCTCAGAGACTCATGACTTGACTCGAATTCACAGCTCAGTGACTCATGACTCGAGTGAACTTGCCCCTCAGAGACTCGTGACTTGACTCAGACGTGCATCTAAGACACTCGAAATTGCATCTCGGAGACTCATGACTTGACTCGGACTCACACCTCAGAGACTTGCACCTCAGAGATTAATGAGTCAACTCGCTCTCACACCTCAGAGACTCGTGACTCAACTCGGACTTACACCTCGACTCAGACTTGCATAAAGCGACTCTTAAAAATCTCTGCTACAGCTGTGACAGAAAGAGATTAGGTTGACTAATGCTGGACTTTGCTTTAGGAGATGTTTTTAGATGGTCTTTCCTCTCCTGTTATGAAGATGTTAAGTAAGGGATGCCCCCCACCCTCCCTCACTTCCCTCCGTTTGGCTCTTTCCCTTGCCCTCTCTCCCTCATACTGCGTACTGTGTGCTAATAGCTATCTGGTGTTGTTTTGCTGTTAATGCGAAGCCCCTTGATGGACCATAGACTGTTCAAGCGGGTGAGTGCAGCCTCAGCAACCCAATCTGTTTCTCTCTCTTGTCTCCTTCCTTCTTTCTCTCTTTCCCTCTGTGGTCATACACCTGACACCTTCCTCTCTCCGTTCTCTCTTTCATCTGTTTTTATCTTCCTGTCTCATTCTAGTACGCTCTCTTTTTCTGTCTCTCTCTCTCTCTCTCTCTCTCTCTCTCTCTCTCTCTCTCTCTCTCTGTCCCTCTCCCCTCCATCACTGTTGCTTGATGCCTGCTTGCATGACAGCTGCCGACTGGAAGCACAGATGGACTGAAAGGCTCGAAATGAGAACAAGTACGGCTACTTGCCGTAAACTAACCACAGTGACACCACCACACTAAACATGCAACCCCTTCTCCTTTGGAAATGACTTGTGTTGTTATGGGGAAACAGTGTATGAAGAATAGGGCTGTCACTATCGATTTTATTAGCAATCAAGTAATCTGAATGTTATTTTGTGAAATAAACTAATAATGGGCATAAATGAATAGTAGTAAACTAAGATTCTCAGACAAAAAGATAAACAATGAAGCTTTTAAAAATGCTTCATTAAAATATCCAGTACTCTGCAAATGTCAGAGACCGCTCATTTATTTATATAATTATCGGTTAAAACAGCCATTATTTATTTATCAGCATCAGAAAAAAAGCAGTAAACATGTATTTAACAGGAAATTACACAGAGGCCTCAACAAATAAATGTTGCATTTTCTGCTCCAAACACATTTAATGATTTTGAGGTCTGGGATTTTCTTTCAGACCGAATCAAGTGTATAGTTTAATATTCTCTCAAAGATGAAAGCTTTAAGTACTGTGTATCTGATGATGACAGCTTTGGTGGTCCCCTAGGTCTTACATGGTTAGTAGGAATCCCATTTTCTCTATATCAACTCCAGTTTTGAAACTCTTGTTTTTTCACTTATATTCTTTTGAATTTCAACTTCTTTATGCCAGTGGATATGTATCCTATTGCCAGTGGATATACACTGCATGGACAAAAGTATTGGGACACCACTCCTACTTATTGAATTCAGGTGTTTCAGCCACACCCATTGGTGTAAAGCACCTATCACTGGACTCTGGAGCAGAGGAAACGTATTCTGTGGAGTGATGAATCACACTTCTCTATCTGGCAGCCTGATGGACGAGTCTGGGTTTGGCAAATGCCAGGAGAACATTATCTGCCTGACTGCATTATGCCAACTGTAAAGTTTGGTGGAGGAGGGATAATGCTGTGGGGTTGTTTTTCAGGGGTTGGCCTAGGTCCCTTAGTTCCAGTGATAGGAAATCTTAATGCTTCAGCAAACCAAGACGTTTTGGACAGTTGTACGCTTCCAACTTTATGGGAACAGTTTGGGGAAGAACCTTTTCTGTTCCAGCATGACTGAGCCCCAGTGCACAAAGCAAGGTTCATAAAGGCATGGTCTGGATGAGTTTGGTGTGGAAGAATTTGACCGGCCCACACAGATCCCTGACCTCAACCCCATCCAACACCTTTGGGATGAACTAGAACGGAAATCGCGAACGAGGCCCTCTTGTCTAACATCAGTGTCTGACCTCACAAAAGCTCTTCTGAATGAATGGGCAAAAATTCTCACAGACACACTTCAAAATCTTGTAGAAAGCTTCCCCGAAGAGTGGAAACTGTTATCGCTGCAAAGGGGGACCAACTCCACATGAATGCCTATGGATTTAGAATAGGATGTCATAAAAGCTACTGTAGGTGTAATGTGTAGGTGTCCCAGTCCTTTTGTCCATATAGTGTATCTTCTATATCTGATCTACTCAGAAATATCTCCTGAAAAATTAGTAACTTGTGTTTAATGGCTGTTTTGACTGGAAATTAAAGAAATATTAAAGAATATTGAAGAAGTATTGTATATATGTATGAACGCTTTGTGGCAAAAAGTGCATATAATGCATATATATGGGTGTCAGGCTCTGTTTCAGACACCAGTCAAGGAATTCAAAATATGCATTATCATTATGCAAATGGCCATTGAATCATTGCCAAAGCATTGCAAAGGTAAAAGTTAATCAGTTGATATTTTAAGCAAGTTCATCAATTAATCGTGACAGCCCTAATGAAGAGGTTGTACAGTGTTACCTGTGTTGCATGATGGGGGATGACCACAGGCCTTGCTCTCTGACCTACAGGCATGCTGAGAATGATGTGCTGTTACTGAGGGCCTTCTGAATGAACAGCTGGCTGTCTTTGCTAGCTTATGATTTTGGTTATGAGTGACTCATAAAAATGTGTGATATGACTGTATGTGCTGGTGGGAACTGACTGACTCTGTCTCTCATGAACACTATATTGTGAAACATCATCTGGCCATTGTCAAGACCAGCAGAGTTCTCCACAGATGTAGTAAATTATGTACTTGATTGAGGAGTTTGTATGATCAGAGGGGAACTGGCTTCCACAGAGCGCTGTCAATTTCAGTTTAAGTAGAAAAGCTTTATCCTTCAGGAGTGAATGAAGGGAAAAGAAAAGAGGACTTTGATGTTTCCTGTTTGAATTTATGAATCCTGTGAAATATGCAGACTATTTTAAGCTGTTTGTCCTATATATCAAGTTAGGCCCGAAACTTGCAAGGTGAAGCTATGAAGAAAATGGGACAAAGATGGTCTGAATTGTAGAGCTTGAATACCAAGAACACTTAAGAAAGGGCTCATTTTGGAGTTGGAGATGAAACTGCACTAGTGAAAAAACATGAAGATGTTTGACTGTGTATTACTTCTAGTACGATATAGTATACTTAGATTTTTGATCTCAGAGTTTTCAGTCTGATTATATAGTTTTCATTTTCAACGTTCCTCACTGCCTCCACATTTAGACCATAGCATATTTTAAAGTGATCGACAGGATTCGCAAACTGAGTTTGGAGATCCGACACTGCATCATTACAGCCTGAGCTGTTAGGGGTGTAACAATTAAGCAATTTCTTTACTCTTCCGGTGAAAATAAAGTCTCCAAGTGCTATTACCTGATGAATAAGTGCACCAAAGTTCAAACTAGGATGGTATGTTAATGTGTCGATTGCTATTGTTTATATTGTTTATATAGAGTTCACTAAGGTAAGCTAATTAGGAAGGGATCATCCCTCTGTTCCCTGGACCCTTTATTTTCTAACTGAAATTTCTAAGAAACAGCTGTATTTTTCCTACTGAGTTTAAAAAAAAGTTCGCATTACAACGTTGGCTTAGCTAGCTAATTGGCTCACTGAGGCTATCCTAGCCACAGGAAAGTGCAATCTTATTGAAATATCTACTTCTCATTGTCCCTGTTGCTGACCCCAAGATGTTAATCATGACCTTGGAATTCCTTTCATAGGTTCCCTTATGTTTCATATGGAGTTTTGAAGTGTAATATAAAGACATAAGAGGATGTAGAGCCCTGAGAACATAGGACCCTGGGAGCATATTAAGAAACACTAATATTACATTTATACTAGCCTCCACAGAACGAGCAAGCACAGAACAGTGCAGTTCATTGTTTCATATCTGCCAAAAAGTTAACCCCTTAACATTCCAGGCTTATTACAAACCAAGGCTTATTATTCATTAACTACTAGGTTATAGAAGTGTGTAATAAAACTTTGGGCCTGCTGGCTAGCCCATGGCTTGGTAAAGGGTAAAGCTAACTATAACCAGCAAACAAGCTGTTTAGCCAAATTAGAACCTGTAGAGTGACGTTAAATGACAAAAGAGACAATAATATCGTTAATCGTGGTTCTTACGTAGATGGAAAATAAACTAGAACTAAATCCACTGGTTCCTATTTGTGTCTGTTCTTGTTTTTGAGTGTTCAGCTGATGAGCAGTCTGATAACACTAATACTTTAAAGCTAAAAGCCGAATTACACTTCTGTGTATCCATAAACATGCGCTGACATCATGTGTAGACATTCCCATAGATGTCTGCTAACATACTTGAACGTAAAGTGAACATTTGCACTCGGAGGGAAGAATGTCCAGAAAATGAAAGGACAGCTGTGCGTTTCTCTGCAAAAATGAATATTCACTGTTTTTGTAATATTTTGAAGATGGCTTGTAAAATTGTTTGTGATGTCACACTTCTTCTGCCAACCAATTCTCAAACTGCTCCATTTGATTTTGAGGGTTGTTTGGTCGAGTTTTGTTTGGATTGCCAGTCAACTTTCACTTGACGAACAGCTGCGAGCAGATTCACACGACGAGTTGAGATTTTGTGCGTCTTAGCCTCTGCAAGCTATCCTTACCTTTGAAATTGTCCTCTGAGATGCGTTTATGCTCACCTTTGCAGAAGTACAAATAGGCCTTAAATTAGTTCTGTTCATAGGATGTATTATCTCACAACCTCCTTGTCAAAAAGTATATGTATATATATATATATATATAATTTATTTGCATAACACCCTTACTAACTGGACACACACATTAGGAGTGATGTGCTGAGTGCAAAGAATTCTCCTACTGACCATCTCATCTTGTGCCGTGAGAGAGATTTCTGACGTCCACTGTTCATGTTAACCCTTATGTGTTGTTTTTCAGAGTGAGCGAATTGAGAAAGGCCAGGGAACATGAGAGTATCCAGAAGAGCCCCCTCACAATGTGACATCACTTTCCAGACTTTTTTCGTGTTTTTCTGTTTCAACCAGACGTTTTACAAGAGGAAAAAGAAAAAAAAGTTTAAAAAACAAGAAAAATTCAGCGGGAAGACTGCAACTCTTAACTATACAGTACTACTGACTCCTGCTACAATACGACAGCGTTTCTTTTTCATATCTCTTTCTTCCTTCTGTCTTTCTTTTATGAGGGAAAGAGCCAACTTACTGGAGGAAGAACATTTGCTTCGTGGCATTTTTTGCACTTTTTCATGGATTGGTTTTGTTTTTTTGGAGCGCATCAAAACGTTTTGCTGGGAATGGGACTGAAACGGCCTTGAGGAATCGTGGGAAGAGGATGTGGAATGCTAGAAAAGACAGTGGAAAAAATATGGAATCAATGCAGAAACCTGGCAGGACCTGGCCCGAATTGTATTTCATTGTAAAAATTTGGTGAGCAACTTTGTTACCAAACAATGTTGGTGATCCATTTGTTCCACATTTTGCACGTTTTTCAGTTCATAACCATACAGATTATAGAAAAACAGATCTCCCCCAATTCTGTTCCACACAGCTGAACCCCTCCATATTGGGACAAACTCTGAATGTGGGAGATGTGAGAGCACACATGGGTCACATTTTTAATTTAGACATAGAGCTCAAGTTTTAAAAAAATGAATTCATCTTTTTAAAAATTGTGATCTCTGCCTGAATGGGTTCAGTGCTGAGTGTAAAACTGGACTGTACCCTGTCCAAGAAGGCAAATTTTAAAGTGCAAAATCAGTGCGAATATGAAAATGGATATGCCTCTAGGCAAAACATTAAGTCTGTGTCCTTCGATTAGTTTTTCATCTCCATGAATGTAGTGGAGACATTAATTGCGATTGGCTGAGTCGCTATGGGTTTTCAGTCGCCTCGTGTAAAAAAAAAAAGTTGCCTCGTTTTGGTTCTTTTTGTTCTAGTCATTGATGATGCTCTTGTTCTGTTAAAACAAACTTCTTAGGCTCTTTAGTCCTTCGAAGGGAAGATCACATGCATTGCCTTGATATCTTAGAGATTCTCCGAAGGATCCCTAAGCTAGCCCTGTAGCAGGGGTTAGACAAATCCATATTTTTGACAATTGAGTGGTTTCTGTACATAAAGAGGGTCGCCGGTACGGTACGTGAAGCAAAACATTTATCTGAACGGGATTGTATTTTAGAAATATATTATTTTATTCATTCTAAGGGGTCAAAACAGGTCAGAGTTGAAATCTGAATATTTGTATAGTTTTGTTTGAATGCCTAATAAGTATGGTTGTATTGTTTTGTATATATTGTAAATACCTGGGATAAAGATGAGCTATGTGCATGAAAAATCAAAGATACTGAAAAAAAAAAGATTTAAAAAAACAGCATTAGTGGCTATGCTCTGTAAAACTATTTCACTATAAGAGTATTTTATTTTACTTTGAATGTTCTTGAGAAGAACATTTTGCTGAAGCATGACCTTACTGCAGATATGAAAAATACCGTACTTATGAGGTAGAAGAAAACAGCATTATCATTAGACGAAAAGGTTATGTTTACATCTGTTTGTTTTATCAGGCTACCAAGAGTCTTTTTTGCCATTGGTGCCAAGTAATGTGAATGCTACTGCTTAACGAGAAAATTACGTTCATCTTTGCTGAATAGATCATACACTACAATAGAATTGACATTAACTCTCATCATACCATCATATCTCATCACCGCTGACCAGTGAACACGGAAAGTGCCACAGAGGGTGGAGTATTCGATAAGAAGCCTTTTAGTCTCCCACATCGCCCTTTTTATTGCGTCTCACGTTGTTGTTTTTTTATTCTACTTGTCTAACTGACCTTATTAGGTAGAAATGAACCGTTACTTCTCCAGTAAAAACACTAAAACTGTAATGCTGCTGTCTGGTTATGATCTAATCTATGCTCCATCTTTAAATTTCAAATGCAACACTGAAAGATGCTTTTGGAGCATGTAGGACACGTCGGTGCTAAAAACGATAGATCCTGAAAGACACCCGAAGGTTAAAAGGTTTGGCCAATGTTGAGCTTTGGCTTTGAACCAGAGGTTTGCACATTTAGGCACGTAAGAAGCTTTCATCGCATGTTCCAGCAGCTTTTGAAGAGGCGTGTCTTACTAGAGCTTAGGAATCTGACCAGTAAAAAACATTTCCAGTGAAGTATTTAGGATAAACACAAATAGTTCTAATGTCTTTTTTAAAGAAGGGACTTGTCCATTGCAATTTTGTACTTATTTCATTTCAGTTTCCCTTTAAAGTGGTGTTAAAATGTTTGTTTTCTACAACATTATGTAACATCTGGTATTGGTTTTAACCGTTTTGTTGAAGATTTATATGTACGTTGTGTTTTCGGAGTGTTTATGTGGGAAGTGCCTAATTATATTTTAACTCCAGCAAATTTCAGTCAGCATGCAATGTAAAAAAAAATGGACAAATTGATATTAGCAAGTTTAAGAATGGCGACTTGGGTAATGTAACTCCATTCTCCAACCACATATTGAGGTTCTTTTGTGTAACAATGTGTTTTTTTCCCTTTTTTAACCCTATTTTATCTCTGTTTGTGCTGCACCACATATATGAACGCTCTGTTTGCTTATCTAAAGCCTATTGGAACTGCCAGTCGAATCCCACAAGGACTTCACCTACAGTCCTGTGGTTATTGCCTTGCGTTCATTCATTCCAGAAGCAGTTTAGGTTGTCAGCTATCGCACTGCTATGGCAACTCGAGAAGGTCTTATTATGCTTGCATGGGAAACATAGATAACCGGGTGAATAAACAGCACCCAAAGCATGCTTATTTTTGTAGATTCGGTAGTCAGGTAGACTTGTTGAAGAAATAATGTTCTGTAAAGCAACGTCGGTTTGGTAGCTCAAAGAACCTTGAAGGATGTAGGCACCTCAGAATGGATGGCAGATGAGCGGCCTACAGTGAAGTCGATCGATGGGCACCTATCAGTATTCACATTTCCTAAGGGTGGCACAGATGTTTCTCAAACGAGGTTCAGTTTCTAGTTGAGTTCCACGTTAGAATCCAGTTCCGTTTCACTTCAGCGTCACATTATTTAGCTTTCGGTCACATCAGCTGGTCAAAACTCTCTTCACATCTATCTATCTTCGCGTCCACTTGCACAAGACAGTGCCGTGTCCATAGCTAAACTTGTCAGAGTGTCCGTCGCACTTACGGGCAGTCAATAACCGCAACCTCTTGAGTGAATCTCCTAGCGTAGTGAAGAGTTAGCCTCACTTTTGTATTTTTACTCAGGGTGCCAAAACTGGGAAGGGGGAAGTGGAGCAGGTCACTGGAGAATCAGCTGCTGCTTACTGGGAAAAAAGAGCCAGAGCCAGTCTTGATCAAATTACTGTGATTTTCTTTTCATGCTGTTCATTTTTATCACGTGGGCTAATTTTGTTGTACCATAATGATGAAATGACCACTGTCCCTGGAAGGAAGCCCATCAAAAGTGGCGATTCTGTTCTCTAGTCTGCTTTAGAGAGATCGGCATCTCTGGTAGCAGAAAGCTAAATAGCGCTAGGTGAGCTACAGTCCTGTATATGCTAACATTTCAGACCGAAACACTGCCATTGATAGACATAGTGTATGAATAAAAGTACAACGTAAATTACAGCATTGACTTGATTTCTAATATAGTAGATTTCCCTTTTCGTGTGTTTTTAAGTTACCGTTCAGAAACAGGGTGCTTGAGAAATATTAGCATGACCATGGACACAGTTAGCAGTTAGCAGCTACCGTCTTGTTTCTTCTGAGCACCTGAAATGCCAAATGACCTCCCTCAGAACATGGTCTTTAGTCATGACAGACCTCAAGTTCAGCTCACAGACGTATCTAGCCGAGATTAGCGTTTGTTTCCGTCACGTTTTCGTCATTACCGAGACTACCTTTCCTCCTCTTCTGTTAGCTACACCCATATTCAAGAAGGCACGTCGAGATAACCGAGCCGAAATCCGTCCCACAAAGTTCTTCATTTGTGGACACAGAGCAATAAACATGTCTTTCGAAGTCGAGACCTGCAGACCCAATGGAGACAAAAAAAAAAGAAAGAAAACAATTGGACACATGCAGTTGACTTACAACTTATGCAAAACGCCAGTAGGCTATTGCGAGATTAGCGTTCAGTAGGCCTAGTTTATGGACAGCAGTTTATAGGACACCCTTTACAGATCTGCACGTTTTCATCACTTCCAGAACCCAGAAAAATAGCGGCCCCGCTTTTATTCCAGGCTACCGGGGCCCTTGACACTTTGCATGTATAACTAGTGTTTAGATCTCTTTTTCTCTCCTCTCTAGCTGTCTTTCTCTCTGTCTTTCCCTGTTATGTAGCCCTTTTCCTCTTTTCCTTCCCTTCCCCCAATTTGCTCAGCCGTTTTTTATTTCTTTTTATTTTTTAATTTGTGTAATACAACTGTTTTTCTTTCTTTCTTTCTCCCCTTCCCCTAGTTTGTAAGTTTTATTTTTGTAATTGTGCATGTAAAACCGTCACTGAATCGATGGATATGTTAAAAAAAAGAGAACTCAGCTGCTGAAGCCATGCAAAATGTTTTGAATTGCCCTTAAAATATGAAAGATGTTTTCTGAATGCTTTATATTCTTTCTGCTGTAAAATAATAAAAAGGGGGAAAAATGAAGAAAAAACATATGACTTTTCATGATTAAGGTGTTTATGGATCTACCCTACAGAACTGAATAGACAATTGTAGCTCCAACACAACTGGAAACACTTCAGATTGTTTAAATTTGTAACGGTACAAGCCAGTCAACACAACTGTGCCACCTTCTGGACACTGGCCGCAATGCAGTGTTGTTTGACTGGGCATGGAATAAAACTTTTGAGTCAGCGGTGTATCTACAATATAACTGTTTTTATTTCTTTATTATGGGCACCGGGGCAAAAAAAGAAAGCCCCCCCGCACACCCCTAATTATGACAATTACTTTGAATTAATAAAAAAGACAATGTAATATGATGTAATATTTCTTGCTATTGTTATGTATCCAACAAGTTGATGCTCTAATTACATTAGACATTATATTAGACCAACTATTTTAGATTTTACATCATAATTAATGAATAAGTCTTGTTGCAGGTTGTGAAGCATCTGTTCACAGCCTGCGATGGTCATTCTGGATGAGATGCATTATGAATGAGCGAGATAAATAGACATCGGGTCTGTCTGGGTAGTGTTGATGCTAGCCAACTGATGATAATGTTAAGGAATTTGATCTTTCTGTGAGACACGGGTGTGCAGTTGGGTGTGCCACGTGCCCTAGTATGATTGACTCCACTTTCCCTTATGATTACACTGCTTGCAGCAATTGAACGTAATTTCTCCTCATGAATAAGAGCAGCTGAAGTAGCATGGTTACAGTCATACAGTGCGAAAACCACATAAGCAAGTCAGTTTGAGATTAGTCAGTAACCCGGCTCAGTTTGAGGCATGCGTGATGATGCGGACAAGCAGTCTGCATGATGCTAATTTTAAATTCCATGCTGATCTAGTGCTAGTTAAGGTGGTCACCCAGCATGGTCATACTGATGATTGACCATCATACCAGCATCCAAAACACAACATACACTGGTTTTGGTGGTGACCAGCTGTGCTGGTCTATGCTTGATTTCCTAGCAGGGACTAACCACAGGATAATATGTTAGCCCCAAGCTAGCACATAAGCCACGTGCTAACAAGCTAGTCACAATAATACAATACAGTAAGATACAATACAACAGAATAAGCTGGGATAAAATGCAAAATATTGTACTCTAACTTTATCTAACTTGTAAGGCATAAGCCTCCATTGCTTGTTAGCTAGGTTTGTAGCTCCAGAGCAAAACTGAAGAAGTAAACATCAGACACCAACCATGGGTTGACCACTTTTGCCATATGAGGTTAAATTAGACTTTTCACTGATCTATCCCTTTAACATGTCTCCAGTCCCATCTGAGCTGTTAGATCATTTCTAGGAATGCCCATGTCCCCAGTGACGTCCATTTTTACAGTATTCTTATGATTGTGGGTGATGTGCTGAGTGTGCATTTTTGTTTTTCGCTGCAGATGCACTTTAGATTAATAGAGTATGCTGGACTGGGGACTTTGATGGTGTGAGTCACACTCAGGGTTTATGGGCCAGGTAAGTGCCCTCTGGACCTTTATAGTACTGCAGTGGTCAGAGGGATTGGTCAGGGCTACTCGAGCAGGGTGTCTCAACATCACATTGCATATAAAGCTGCTGTGTGTGAGGACGTCTCCATCTCGGTGTGACCACGGCACACTGCTACGTACACCTGGAAACACCTGCAAATCACTGAAAGCTTTAAGGTAAGAGTTGAGATGATGAGCTGCTACATTATATCATATGTGTGTTTTGCTATGTTATGTCATTGAGACTGAATAAGCATGTATTCATTTTAGGACTTCTCATATACTAGAAAAGTTATCCATACAGAAATTTGGTACATGGCCATATATGCATGTATTTAATTGCATAGCTTATGATGGTAACTTTACAGGAGAAGGAAAAAACCTTCCTAACTTGTAATGGAACTTAATGTAACAAGATATTTGTCTACATATTTCTGGATTACGTCTATTGATGCATTCATCGTTAAATTTTAACACAAAGCCGAGGGTCACTGTACTTTTCAAATTATGCAAAAAAGTGAAAAATGGAGATATAAGGTTTTTGCATGGCAGCGACGATATGTTCAGACAAACATGGTGGATTTGATCTGATCATCAGAGGCTTGTTTGTGTTAATTAACTCGCAGCTGTTATCCAACTTGCATACTGACAATAAAACAGAAGAGAGACTTACTGTATCAAGTGCTAAAAAAGTCTGAAATTCATGTAAATATTTCAGAGATTCTATGTTTTGCTCAAATTGTTAGGCTGATAATATAATTTGCAATTAGAAAATTAGAAAATAATGTAAAATAGCATTTTCACTGGTGGTCTCAGAGTTTTGTACCCCACTGCAAGTTACTCAATTAGCCAGCTTTAAGTCACACTGCATTATCACTATTGGTGCCATACACTAGCATTCTGACATCAATGTTCAAATCAATGTTTTTAACAATATTAAACCAGTGTTGTCACAGATAAATGAATAAAATGATTTGAATATACTAATTGTGTGCAAACTCACAGTTTATATAATTGTAAATAATCAGTAGGATGTTGTTAAATAAATAAATAAATAAATAAATATGCTTCTAAAATGACTGCATGAAATTCATATACATAATGCTCTATATTTCAATCACATCCTGAGGCAGATAAATAACAAAAGTTACTATACATTGATAATTACAGTATATTATTTATCTTTGAATAACTTGTCAGAACGTGGATTATTGAATAAGCTATCTGCACTGTATAAGTTGTTACTGTGCATAAAATAGCAACAAAAAATCATAATTTTTTCTTTTGAATGTTAGTCTTTATAATATTTATGATGTTTTATTTTTTATTATTAATTTGAAAGTATAATAATTTAATTCAGTTATGACTTTGAGAAATTTCAGATTTTATTACAATTCAATTTGACTCGATTATTTTACCACAATTCATAATTATCTTTAAGAATACACTGAATATAAATGCAACTGGAGAAATAACTGCATTCAAACAGAAGTACAATCAGTTACAACAGGTTGCAACATCCGTTGAATCACCACCTTTAGAGTGGCAGTGGCAGTGAATCAGTCCATTTTCACACCGTCGTCAGATGAGTACATGATTATTTAAAACTTTTTCAGAGTAAATGTCATTTTCCAGCTGTGGTTTAAATGATGTGCTGCATTACTCATTGATCGGAAGCAAATGTTACAGAGGCCAGCATCTTTCCTCTTCAGAAGAAAAGGGTCGTGTTTTCTTTCATTATGACTGTGCACAGCGTCACTCTGCAGATGGGGAGGCTGTTCTTTTCTTTCATTCTGGTGCTGGTGCTGGCGTCAGTGTGGTCTGATGACAGTCAGCCTGTGCACACTGAGGCGGACAAGCTAAGAGAGGTAAATTCAAAATTTGATATGATAAGACCTGATATAGTACACCCAAAACCATATACTACACACTTACTTTAAAAAGCTGTGCAAGCTGAAACACTCCTTATAACTTCAGCGTGAGTGGGTGGAGCTAAACTGCTATAGGCTGAATAGGCGGATATGTCGATTCAAAACAATGTTTTGACAGCTAAATGAGTAATTACGTCTTACAATTAAAAAGCGCTCAATATTTCACCCACATTATTCCACTGTTTTTGAAAAGTATATTGCAGGCTAATACATCAGATGTGGGTAACTGCAGAGGTGCTATATTTTATTTGCCTCTCTGTAGAGCATGTCAAATGTTAGCCCTTATATTTTAATACCCCTGCACTTTAATTTTAGCAGTTATTAGTGAATCCCTCATTAATCTGAGCCTAGGTGGGACACTTCTGTCTTCTAAAGCAGCTGGACAGTGTCTTACCCCCAGTGTCCACTCTGTTTGTGTGCAGTTGCTGGAGTTGATTAAGTCAATGGCCCATAAAGGCAGACAGCCTGCAGAGGATACAGGATTGGACAGCTCTCCAGATGAGCTGTGGCCAGACACTGAGTCTATAGAGAAGAGAGACCTGCCTCGACTCGGAGTGTCCGTCTACAGGCCATTAGCGTCCAGGGTCCAGAGCAGGTGCGTGTTCTTATGGTTACTACGATCACTGTGCCTCAGCTTGATGACAACATGTGTATATTCATCAATAGAAGATGCTTAAGCACAACACTTTTAGATTATTTCCTTAATATCGCTCTTTAAATTAGATGTTAACTTTTCATTATTTGTTTGTAAGTTATTACATGCTATGACTCCACTAGAATTTGTGTTTTGAGCATTTTAAATGACTATTTTTGTCTTTTATCTATCCTTTCGAATATGTTGTGTTTTCTTTGAGCTTTCATTCTTAATCTACTGAAAATCAGCCAAGATTTGTTTTTAGTTGCGCTTTCTAAATACACTTAGCTTGACTTCACTCTCTTTATCTCTTGCTTTCTCCTCCTGCCATCTCTGTACAATTAGTAAGAGCATGGACGCGTCCAGGAACCGCTTTTATTATCCAGCAGAGAGGATGGCCAGACTCCATGGATGAGAAATGACAGATGCCTTGGGAGTGACTGTCGTCCACCTGCCGTTCATCAGCAATGAGTGAATTTGAATGTAGATTAAACTGCATAAAAATACTTATATAGTTCTTCTTGCATGACCCCAGTATGTTATCAGAGGTGGGTAGAGCAATCAGTATTGTTGCTTCAATTTAATTATCACTCAAGTAATAGTAGAAGCAGCCATTTGGAACTGCAGTGGAACTTTTGTACATCTAGCATCTGTCAACTGAAGATTGTTGGGGTGAAGCAGATCAGGTGCTGAACAGAATACAATAAAATTAAACCCAAAATTGTGAACTAAAGTACTAAACTTTCACTTAAGTACATAAAACTGAGTAAATATAAGTGGCTACTACCCACCTGTGCAAGTTACATCAATTGATTTTCAGTATTTTAGCTATATATATATTAATATTTATGCATTTGGTAGATGCAACTTAGAATTTTAATCATGTAACAGATGTAGGTGACTATAGCATTAGGAGTCTTGTCCAAGGTTT